TGCTTTGCTCCGATTTTTAATGGCAATTGCGGTTCCCGCCAGGCAACAACGTCCACTCAATAAATCTGAGCCGTAGGCTACTCTCGTTAAGAAATCATCCGTCGGTCCTAGTTTCCTCATTCCCCTGCGTGTATTCCCAACGGCCATCCCTCCAGACCAAACCTCGAAATTCCGGATCTTTTTTGGTTCGAAACCGCGCGGCTTGGACTCGAAAGGGGCCTGATTCGTTTGTTTGGTAGCCACCCGAACTCCGAGTGTTGAGCCCCACCACACCCCCAACTCCAATCTCTTCTTGGAGTTTGGCTGTGGAATTCCCAGCACGGACATTCAGCCATGCATTCACAACAACCGACATTTCAACTAGGCGTTTCCCAGAGCGACATTTCGATCTAGTCGTTCTAGCCAAGATATTCGCTTCACACATTCATTTCAGCATAGCGTTCGGTCATTTCCAGCTCAACTCTCCTCGTAGATGCAGCACATTTCATCTCGACCAGTCCGAGTTTCCAGCTCGTACCTGCCGCGATCAGCGCTACGCCTCACGCGCATCACGAGCATCTGTTTGCTGCTTTACAGCGCATGCTTTCCATGCGTTACGCAACTTCAGCTGTTGTGAAGGGATGAGCTGTTGTGCGAAAGGCGGAAATGAGAAGCGCGATACGATTTCGTGTAGGAATTTGCGGTATTACGAGCATCGTTCAACGTCGAAACCAGACCGAAAACAAACGAGCATGGACGAACATTTGGAAGCGCGAGCACGAAAAAGCGGCCATGGGTGTTGGACTATACCTCACGCGCATGGTGAGTTTTTCACACGCATCCGAACAATTATTCTCTCACATGCACTGTCAGTTTTCATCTCAGCGTCGAAACTTCACTCACATTGAACGTCTTTCTGTTACTCCCCTTGCGGTGCAGGCTACCTTTACAATGCCACGTTGCGTGTGCACGCCTGGCAGCACCAACTCCGCTAGAGCCTGGACGGCCTTGCTGCAGTCGCGGACGAAATTTCTGCAATCGCGGACGGAATTGCTGAATCCGCGGACGAAATTGCTGCAGTCGCTGACGGAATTGCTGAATCCGCGGACGAAATTGCTGCAGTCGCTGACGGAATTGCTGCAGTCGCTGACGAAATTGCTGCATCAGCGGACGGGATTGCTGCAGTCGTTGACGAAATTGCTGCATCCGTGGACGGGATTAGTGCATCCGCGGACGAAATTGCTGCATCAGCGGACAAATTGCTGCATCCGCGGACGGGATTAGTGCATCCGCGGGCGAAATTGCTGCTGTAGCGGACGAACTTGCTGCATCCGCGGACGGGATTGGTGCATCCGCGGACGGGATTGGTGCATCCGCGGACGGGATTGGTGCATCCGCGGACGGGATTGGTGCATCCGCGGACGGGATTGCTGCAGTCGCGGACGGGCATGGCGGTGGGGACCCGTGAGGGGGCCGCGTGAACGGAGCTTCAGCTTTCCAGTTAAGTGTTTCCTCCTCCTTGATTGTTGCCTTCTGATTTCAAATGCTCATCATTGAAATACGCCACTGGTTGGGCCGGCTTTCATGCCACAGACCCCCTTCAGGTATCCCTCTCAGGTGCGGGTACCCCCTCAGGTTTTATTTTTTAAACCCCAGCAGGTTCCCTTGGGGTCTGTGGCGTGTGGCCGTGCCGCCTCCCGTGGCGCCTCCCTCCTTCTTCCACGCGTAGCAGTTTCCAGTGTGTTCTTGTGCTGCCGGCCACTCCAAGCAACCTGACCTCTGCCGTGTGTGTGCCTGGCAGGTGGAGGGGAGGGGCGCGGGGGTCAACACCGACGCTACTCCACGCTCCTCTCCAATGGCCGTGCAGGGACACGCACGGGGAGGCTGGGAGGCAAGTCGGCATCAGCTCTGCACTATTCCAGCTAAGTGCTCTCTCCTCCCTGGCCCTGCCTTTTGCTGCTGACTGCTTCGTTTTGTGTCCTTGTTCTGCATGTGCTTCAGTTTGTTCTCTGAAATCTTGCCACTGGTTGGGCCCGCTCTCAAGCTATAGACCCCTCCCCCAAGTCCAGGTTTGCCCTCAGGTTCCCCTTTTCTAGGTTCTTACAGCCCCCCAGGTTCAGCCTCTCAGGTGCCCCTGGGGGTCTACGGCTTGTTGCGGCGCCTCCACCAGTGGCCCCTACCCTCACTTCTCTTGTGGAATGTGCTGTCTCTGCTGCAACACCACCGTTCATCCCCTCGCTCTCCACTCACCAGCTCTGCTTGTGCCTTTGCAGGTGGAGGGGAGGGGCGTGGGGGCCAACACCGACGCTACCTCGCGTCCCTCCCCGGTGGCCGTGCAGGGACGCACACGGGGAGGCTGGGAGGAGGAAGGCCGGCAACAGCTCTGCAGCTTTCCAGTTAAGTACTTCTCCTTCCTGGCCCTGCCTTTGCTGCTCATTGCTGTATTTCGCTTTGCTTGTTCTGCATGTGCTTCAGTTTGCTCTTTGAAATCTCGCCACTGGTTGGGCCCGCTCTCAAGCTATAGACCCCTCCCCCACAGTCCAGGTTTGCCCTCAGGTTCCCCTTTTCTAGGTTCTTACAGCCCCCCAGGTTCAGCCTCTCAGGTGCCCCTGGGGGTCTACGGCTTGTTGCGGCGCCTCCACCAGTGGCCCCTCCCCTCACATCTCTTGTGGAATGTGCTGTCTCTGCTGCAACACCACCGTTCATCCCCTCGCTCTCCACTCACCAGCTCTGCTTGTGCCTTTGCAGGTGGAGGGGAGGGGCGTGGGGGTCAACACCGACGCTACCTCGCGTCCCTCCCCGGTGGCCGTGCAGGGACGCACACGGGGAGGCTGGGAGGAGGAAGGCCGGCAACAGCTCTGCAGCTTTCCATTTAAGTATTTCTCCTTCCTGGCCCTGCCTTTGCTGCTAATTGCTCTATTTCGCTTTGCTTGTTCTGCATGTGCTTCAGTTTGTTCTCTGAAATCTCGCCACTGGTTGGGCCCGCTCTCAAGCTTTAGACCCCTCCCCCACAGTCCAGGTTTGCCCTCAGGTTCCCCTTTTCTAGGTTCTTACAGCCCCCCAGGTTCAGCCTCTCAGGTGCCCCTGGGGGTCTGCGGCTTGTTGCGGCGCCTCCACCAGTGGCCCCTCCCCTCACTTCTCTTGTGGAATGTGCTGTCTCTGCTGCAACACGACCGTTCATCCCCTCGCTGCACACTCACCAGCTCTGCTTGTGCCTTTGCAGGTGGAGGGGAGGGGCGTGGGGGTCAACACCGACGCTACCTCGCGTCCCTCCCCGGTGGCCGTGCAGGGACGCACACGGGGAGGCTGGGAGGAGGAAGGCCGGCAACAGCTCTGCAGCTTTCCAGCTAAGTACTTCTCCTTCCTGGCCCTGCCTTTTGCTGCTCATTGCTGTATTTCGCTTTGCTTGTTCTGCATGTGCTTCAGTTTGTTCTTTGAAATCTCGCCACTGGTTGGGTCCGCTCTCAAGCTTTAGACCCCTCCCCCACAGTCCAGGTTTGCCCTCAGGTTCCCCTTTTCTAGGTTCTTACAGCCCCCCAGGTTCAGCCTCTCAGGTGCCCCTGGGGGTCTACGGCTTGTTGCGGCGCCTCCACCAGTGGCCCCTCCCCTCACTTCTCTTGTGGAATGTGCTGTCTCTGCTGCAACACCACCATTCATCCCCTCGCTGCACACTAACCAGCTCTGCTTGTGCCATTGCAGGTGGAGGGGAGGGGCGTGGGGGTCAACACCGACGCTACCTCGCGTCCCTCCCCGGTGGCCGTGCAGGGACGCACACGGGGAGGCTGGGAGGAGGAAGGCCGGCAACAGCTCTGCAAATTTCCAGCTAAGTACTTCTCCTTCCTGGCCCTGCCTTTTGCTGCTCATTGCTGTATTTTGCTTTGCTTGTTCTGCATGTGCTTCAGTTTGTTCTTTGAAATCTCGCCACTGGTTGGGCCCGCTCTCAAGCTTTAGACCCCTCCCCCACAGTCCAGGTTTGCCCTCAGGTTCCCCTTTTCTAGGTTCTTACAGCCCCCCAGGTTCAGCCTCTCAGGTGCCCCTGGGGGTCTACGGCTTGTTGCAGCGCCTCCACCAGTGGCCCCTCCCCTCACATCTCTTGTGGAATGTGCTGTCTCTGCTGCAACACCATCGTTCATCCCCTCGCTCTCCACTCACCAGCTCTGCTTGTGCCTTTGCAGGTGGAGGGGAGGGGCGTGGGGGTCAACACCGACACTACCTCGCGTCCCTCCCCGGTGGCCGTGCAGGGATGCACACGGGGAGGCTGGGAGGGCGACAGCACTGCAACCGCCACGAGGGAGCTACGTTGCCAAATACGCTCTGGGTAGGGTGGCGTACCACGTATATACGATTGCGTACGTACGTGGTACGCTAATACGCTTCGAATTCGTGAAAAAACGCGCGGGCAGCCCGGCGAAAAAAAAAATCGAAATTGAAAAAAATTTGCGACGGTTATTAGGGCTTCGCGACTGGTTACGCGACCAAGCACATCGTCCAACCCACGTCTGAAATTCAAATTTCAGAATCCAAACCTCCCACCACCCCAACCACACACCACCCCACCAAACCTCTCATATCCAACCACCCCTCTCAAATGTCCAGCACGTCATGTGAGCATTTACTCGTTGACGCCTTCCTATCCTTCATTCGTTTCTCTCCTCCTCAATTTCATTCCCGAGCTCTGATCTCCCGTTTTCCTCAAGCAGTTTACCGTTCCTTAGTCGCGCCCCATGGCGTCGAACTCCACCCCTCCTAGCGCGACGAGCAATGCAGCTTCTGGTCACGCGTCTAGTAGTGCGATCAACACGCAGCCTGTTGAGGCTGGCCTTTCGAACCCCATTCTGAAACATTTTCTTATTCCCCCCCACACCAAAGGCAATCCCAAGCTTTGTAAGTTTTGTGGCTTCAAGTTTGAGGGCGGAACCACTCGCTGCGCAGTTCACCTCGCCAAATGGAAAGGGCAAGATGGACGCCCTGTCAGGCTTTGCAAGGACGTGTCCCCGAAAGTCCGTGAAGAAGTGCGTGCCATGTACGAAAGCAAGGAGGAAAACAAGAGCATGAAACGAGGGGCGGCTGCTGCAGCACTCGACTCCGTGCTGGGCGCGGTCACTGCTTGTGCGGAGAAGAAGGGGAAGATAACAGAATTCTTCGGCGACGAGGCAACGTGCGCCAAGGAGGACGCGGATAACGCGCTTTGCCTAATGATCTCGGCGCTGAAGCTTCCAGAGCGCATCGTGGATGATCCGGTCTTCCGCTACGCGGTCCAGTGCTTTGCGCGCGCGGGACCGGGGTATGTTCCCCCCAAGAGGGGCTACGTTGGAGGGGCGGGCTTGAAGAAAGTGCGGCAGAAAATGGAGGCAGCGCTCGCCCCCGTTGCCGCGAGCTGGAAGCGGGACGGTGTCACCGTGTCGTCGGACATGATGACCGACCGTTGTGGCCGCCCGCAGGCCAACATACTCCTTGTCAACGACTCCGACGCAGTTTTCGAGCAGGCCGTGGACTGCAACATGGAGTCGAAGACGGGGGGGTACATCGCCAGCCTTCTCCGCCCCGTCATTGATAAGGTGGGGCCGGAGAATGTGGTGGCGGTCTGCACCGATGGCGGCAGCAACTATGCATCGGCAGCGCGGAAGATTGCGGGCACATGGCCGCACATTGAGCATGTGCCATGTGCCACGCATGTCCACACCGCCCGCCGCAACCGCCTCGGGTCCGCCAAGTGTGCGGACCTGGTTTACATTGCGCACAACTGGAACGTTGTGCGCAATTGGTACAACAAGGATGGGGCCAGCACGGTTGTGCCCGGGAACATCCCGGATGCCCCTATCCCCCGCGGCTACAACATGGACGAGGAGGAGGAGGATGACCTGCTGGGGGGGGAAGGAGATGATGCAGTGCTGGCGGATGAGTATGGGGAAGGGGTGGTGGTGGAAAAGCCCCGCAAGGAAATAGGCTGTGGGGAAGCTCGCTAGAGGGTGGGGATTATGTGGATGAACTATGTATTTCTGGATATTTATGAAATAAAATATTGACATGTGTTGTTGTCGGCCTGAACCCCCCCCCTGAAACAGGTTTATTTATACCTGCCCGGGAAAAAAAGTTTTAGCTGCCCGCCAGCGTATTTTTGCGTATCAGCAGTACGCCAGCCTTGGCGTACCGCGTATATACCAAGCGTATAATACGCTAACGTATTATACTCGGTACTCGTATTTAGCAACGTAGCGAGGGAGAGTATGGGTTGGGCTTGGCCTCTCAAGGTGCGTTAGTTTCCTCCCTGGCCTCATCTTTCCCCACTCAAGTTCACGTTTTACATGCTTGTATCTGTCACGTTCAGTTGTTTCTTCCTCTGTATCGTTCTGCCAGCTCACCACTCCTCCCCTCCTGTCCCTCCTCTCCTGTTCTCTCCTCCCTCCTCTCTCCCCGCCACCAGGTGAATCATCATCAAGAGATGCGTGCAGCAGAGGTAGCTGAGAAGCAGACCGGCTGCAGCAGTTGCAGCAGCAGATTCAGCGGTGGAGGCTGGGAGGGCGACAGTACTGCAGCTGCCACGAGGGAGAGTATGGGGATGGGCTTGCCCTCTCAAGGTACGTTAGCTCCCTCCCTGGACTCGTCCCTCCCCCCCTCAAGTTCGTCGTTCCTGTTGCTCTCTCTTCACGTTTTGCATGCTCGTCTCAGTCTTATTCAGTTTCGCCTTCAGTGCCTTTCTGACAACTCACCACTTCTTCTGCCCCCTCTCTTCTGTGCCCCCCCTCTCCTCTCTCTCCCCCCAGCACCAGTGTCAAGGGAAGGATACAGCAGAGGTATCTGAAAAGCAGACTGGCAGCACCAGTTGCAGCAGCAGCGGTCCCAGCGGTCACAGAGGGTGGGGGCTAGGAGGGCGACAGCAGCTGGCATGAGGGAGAGTATGGGGATGGGCTTGGCCACTCAAGGTACGCTAGCTTTCTCCCTGGCCTCATCTCTTTCCCCCTCAAGTTCATTGCTGCTGCATCTGTCTTAACATTTTGCATGTGCTATTCAGTTTCACTTACGTGTCTGTCTTGAAACTCACTTCTCCTCCTGCCCCTCCTCTCCTGTGCCCCCCTCCCCTCTCACTCTCCCCGCTACCAGGTCACTCAGCATCAAGCGAAGAGTGCAGCAGATGTAGCTGTGAAGCAGACCGGCAGCAGCAGTTGCAGCAGCAGAAGCAGACGTGCAGCGGTGGGGGGTGGAGGGTTAGAGGGCAACCCAGGATAGGAATAGTCGTGAGCGAGGTGTGGTAAGGTGAGGTACGGTACAGGTAAGGTATAGTATGGTAAAAGGTAAGGTATGTTTTCATACCTTCCCTCTCTCTCTCCTCCCTCTTCCTCTTGCAGGCTGAAGGTGGGAGCACTGGAGGAAGGCCAGGAGAGTAAAGGCCAGCTTCTCACTCCCCTCCTCCTCTCTCCCTCTTCCCTTCCCTCCCAGCAGCACCCTTCCTGGACCACAGTGGAGACCCGCCCCCCCTTTAATCCCCCCTCCTCACTTCCCAGCAGCCTGAGGGTGAGAGCACTGGAGCAAGGCCAGGAGAGTGAAGGACAGCCTCTTACTCCCCTCCTCCTCTCTCCCTCTTCCCCTCCCTCCCAGCAGCACCCTTCCTGGAGCACAGTGGAGTGGAGTCCCGCCCCCCTTTTAACCCCCCCCATCCTCAAGCAGCCTCAAGCATCATGGCGCTCTGCACTGCACGGCTGTGGTAGGTACAGGTACGTAGGCATGGGGGTGAAGAGTGGTGTGGGTGGGTGGGAAGCATGGGAGCAAGCGGGGAGTTCACTGCCTTAGGGGCAGCATCCTCTGGAGTTGTGGCTTGTGGTTTGGGTGTGTGGTTGGTGGAATCTTCGCGGCACGGCACTCGGTGCTCGAGTAACCGATCCGGCGTTTAAGGCTTAATGGACACCGTCAGAGTCGACCGGCCGGCGACTCTGGTTCGCGTCAGCTCTAGCTACGTCGGGGGTGGGATTTGAGTCTTGGGCTGGAAGCGATTTTTCACTGCCACACCTTGACCCACAAGTCACAGCCTCTGAGGGTGCTGTTCTCGAAAGGGGGTGGGCTGTCTGCTGCTCCTACTGCTGGCAGGTGAGGATGGGAGAGGCTGGGTGGGGCGGGTGGTGATGGTGGTGAGAGCAGTTGGGTTGGCGGAGAATCATGTAAGCATGATGCTCATGCTTGGTTGGTGGCACATGATGAGATGAGCCGTATGGCACTGATGCCACCTGTTGCATTGCATGAGGGCATCTCATGCTTGGTTGGTGGCACATGATGAGATGAGCCGTATGGCACTGATGCCACCTGTTGCATTGCATGAGAGCATCTCATGCTTGGTTGGTGGCACATGATGAGATGAGCCGTATGGCACTGATGCCACCTGTTGCATTGCATGAGAGCATCTCATGCTTGGTTGGTGGCACATGATGAGATGAGCCGTATGGCACTGATGCCACCTGTTGCATGAGAGCATGATGCTCATGCGTCCAAGTGAAAGGGGCTGAGTCCTCTTGGGTGGGTGAGTGCAAGTGAAAGGGGATGAGTCACCTTTGGCGGCACATGATGAGCCGTCTGGCACTGGTGCCACCTGTTGCATGAGAGGCGATGGTGGTTACTGTGAGTGGTGTGATTGAGTGTGTAATTAGGGTAAGGAGTGAAAGAGACAGTGGTGATAGCCACAGTTTGGACTGAGGAAGTTGAGTGGTGAGAGTGCTGCAACCGATTTTTTATTGTGAGTGAGTGAGTGAATGAATTCGTGGTGGTGAGGTTGAGTAGTGAGCACCAGTGGTTAGGGTGAGTAGTGAGAGTGCGAGAGGTGAGAGTGAGCATGGGATTGAGAGGTGGTGCGGGTGAGTGGTTAGAGTGGTGAGGTTAAAGTGGTGAGAATCGTGAGCGTGTGTTGAGACTGAGTAGCAAGAGGTGAGTGGTGAGGGTGAGTGCTGAAAATGGTGATTGATGGAGGGGTGGGAGTCGCCAAGTGGTGAAATGGAGTGAGTGCAAGTGAGTGTGGATATTGAGGAATGAGAGTGGACAGGAAGTGAGTGGTGAGAGTGCAGTGAGGGAGTGTTGAGTGTCAGAGTGGAGAGTGGCAAGAAGGGCAACAGTGCGCAGTGCGTGGGTGCAAGCTGGTGGCAGTGAGAACAGTGAGGGTGGTGTTGGTGAGTGCGGTGAGGTTATATTGGCGACAATCTTGAGAGTGTGGTGAGACAAAGCGGTGAGAGTGAGTGGCAAGTGTGAGCGGTGATTGGTGTGGAGGGTTGGCAGTGGCGAGCAGGTGAGATGGAGTGAGAGGTGGGAGTGAGTGGTGGTGGGATTCGGTGGTCAAAGTGAGTGGTGCAAGTGTGTGTGGCGAGTTAGGAATGAGACTGGACATGAGTGGGTGGTGAGAGAGTGGTTGAGTGTCACTGAGTGGTGCGAGTGGCAAGATGTACAACAGTGTACCGAGATTTCTTAGTGGTAGTTCCATGCATGCATGAGTACACCAAGCATGCATGTTTGCACTTGAGCATACCTGTGTGCGTGCATGTGCGCACTGTGTGTGCATGCATTCGTTAGGCAATGTTTTGGTTCGAGTGGCAATGTTCTGTATCCATTGACCACACTACCACACTTTGAAAAGTGTAGATATAATAATCGTCATAAGTCTGCCGTGTTAATACTGACAACGCATTTCAATGCTTGAGATACAAGTATTTTTCTTTGTTTATATGGAAGAGGTTGCAATGCAAACATGATCACATAGCGATATAGTTGTGGGGTAAGAAAATGCAAGGAACTGGGACTGGTAAGATTAGCTCGTGGTTAAATGAGTTACCAAGACATGACAAGCAATAATATTTGTGATGCGGAATTTTCTGTGTTAAGTATTTTATTCCTGGTGTACGTGGAACTCACTGTACTTGTTTCGATTATTTGAAGGATATGTGTTCAGACCATTGAATGCAGCAAGTGTCAGAAGATCAGTGGTACAGCCAAATAAACGACGAGTAACAGCATAGGTGCGAAACAGAGAGGTTTCGCAATGTTCGTCAGTTTGCCCCAAACCTTGTGGCATGGTGTTTAGGGTTGATACCTCCCTCGGACGCATTTTAGGGAGGAATCAACCCTAAACACGGGACCCCTCTTTCTTGCTAGGGTTGATGCCTCCCGAGTCGCACCCCTTCCCGATTGGGTTTATTTTGTTTCGGTCAGGAAGGGTGCACATATTCTCAGGGTTTCGGGTGCAATGTAATTTGGACGAGAACAAAAAAAACAACAATGGCCACACAGCTTTGGGAACAGTGAGCTGACGAGCTAGCCTGGATTCGGTAGAAAAGACAAACAAGCGCAGTGCAGAATCTGAGATTGTAGATGTACAGTGAGAGAGCTGTGTAGGACTAACCACGTGGCTCATTGAGAGCTCGACTCCCTAACCTGAACAATAACCCTCCCCCCCTAGCCCAGACTTTTGTGGAAACTGTGCGCAGTTTGCGCTGTCCGTACCCTGAAAGCGGAAGGGTCCAGATACATGTCCCCGCTAAGCTGAAAACCCCAGTTCCTCGTTGGCCGACAAGCTAAGCTGGCTGCGTTGTGGTTGCGACGAACAGTGACATTGGCTGCAACCGGTTGGTCCGGTCAGGCTTATTTGTTTGTCCATGACAGGATATTCGAGAGTCCTATTCAGTGGCTGGTTGAAAATCGTCCGCGTGGCACATGAATCTGCCGGTCAGGGAAGGGAAAAGTTAACTGCCAACTCTACGCCGTTCGCTTGTCGCCTCCTTTCACCTCAGCGGCTACGGGAGTCGACGAACACCGACTTTTCCAGCGAGATTCCGTTAACAATGGCGGGAGTTGCGGGATTTCGCTGGTGGGCGTTGGAACTACGTGACCTAGGAACCGTCGATTGTCCGCTCATCTGGAGCCGTAGAGTCGTCGTGTCAGTTTACAGCGCGGCAAGCCCAATGGTTTGAATTTGAAGTTGTGGTTCCAACCACTAGGAGCGAAGTGAATCATTGCCGTGGATACAATATCTAGGGAAGCAGCTTGGGCTGAGATCTGTTGTTGACGCCATCCACTCTCTGACACGGGTTTTCAGCTTAGCGGGGACATGTATCTGGACCCTTCCGCTTTCAGGGTACGGACAGCGCAAACTGCGCACAGTTTCCACAAAAGTCTGGGCTAGGGGGGGAGGGTTATTGTTCAGGTTAGGGAGTCGAGCTCTCAATGAGCCACGTGGTTAGTCCTACACAGCTCTACAATCTCAGATTCTGCACTGCGCTTGTTTGTCTTTTCTACCGAATCCAGGCTAGCTCGTCAGCTCACTGTTCCCAAAGCTGTGTGGCCATTGTTGTTTTTTTTTTCTCGTCCAAATTACATTGCACCCGAAACCCTGAGAATATGTGCACCCTTCCTGACCGAAACAAAATAAACCCAACCGGGAAGGGGTGCGACTCGGGAGGCATCAACCCTAGCAAGAAAGAGGGGTCCCGTGTTTAGGGTTGATTCCTCCCTAAAATGCGTCCGAGGGAGGTATCAACCCTAAACACCATGCCACAAGGTGTTTAGGGTTGATGCCTCCCTGGCCGGATGCCTTCCCGACTGGGGTTTATTTTTTTTGCTCGCGTGTCCGTTGGGGTATTTCGAGTGTAATATATTGAGTAGAAACGACAAACCAGAGCAGTGGAGAATCTGTGATTGAACACCAACAGTGAGCTCTCTGTGAGAACTGGGAAACGTGGCTCATTGAGAGCTCGATACCCTAATCTGAACAATAACTCTCCCCCCCTAGCCCAGACTTTAGCGGAAACTGTGCGCAGAAAGCGCTACCCCTAATCTGAAAGCGGAGGGGCCGGGATACCCCTCCCTGCTAAGCTGAAAACCCGAGGAACTGCTTAGGG